TCCTAATTAGGCCCCCAATATTCGCTGCTTAGCTTTAATGCGTTTTGTTGTACCGTTGTGTCAAGGAATGTTCTGTAGTAAAGTATTATAGCAAACAGTGGAACATTCGTAGCCAAACGAATAAATAAGAAATTTTCGATAGAATACATTATGGCATTTACTTTTAAACGAAGCAGATCGACCCAACCATAGCTCACTAGCATTTGGACAGTCTTTACACGAGAACTGATAAAGCCTAAGCAATTTTCCGAAACTATCATTGACGTTGTGAAATGAAAGGGAGCATTTAGCTAACTAACAAAGTCATGAGTGGCTATCCAGGACATCAAAACATTCCGTATTTGTTATTCAAAGCTTCCGATGATTTTGTAAGTGTGATACAATGGTTTCGTGTACATTGTACGAAACCAATAATCGTTGTGTATATACAGTACGAAACCGCCGTTAGTTCAGTAAGTGCTAAAATAGTTCTGTATACATTATACAAAACCATTGATAGTTCCGTAGAATATCTAAAAGTTTCGAGTATAGAACACGAAACCATCCTTAGTTCGGCATTTAGTGAAATGGCTTCGTAGAAATTTTACGGAACTATTGATGGATTCGCAATCTTTATTGTGGTTCTGGACACATTCTACGAAACCATTGATATAGTTTCGTAGAACATCTAGAGGTTTTTTGTATAAAATCCGAAACTATCCTACGTTCGGCAAGTAGTAAAATGGTTCCGTAGAAATTGTACGGAACTGTTAATGTATTCGCAATCTTTATTGTGGTTCCGGACACATTCTACGAAACCATTGATAGTTTCGTAGAACATCCAGTGGTTCCGTATATAGAATCCGGAACCATTCTTAGTTCAGCATGCAGTAAAATGGTTCGTACAATTTGTACGGAACTACTGATGGTTCCGCAACAATTATTATGGTTCTGTATACAAATATACAAAACCATTAATGGCTTCGGAAAGCATCTAAAGGTTCGGAATACGTGACACGAAACCATCGATAGTTTAGTGAATGATGCAATGATTCGGTATATCCTTTACGAAGCCATACATAGTTTCGTAAATGTTGCAAAGGTTTCGGAGACATTTTTCAAAACCATTGATACTTTCGAAATGCATACAATAGTTTCGTATATTTTATACGAAACCATTAAGAGCTTCGTCATTTATCTGAAGGTTCTGTATATATGTCACAAAACCATTAGCAGTTTCGCAGAGCATCTCAAGGTTTCGTATTAGTTCTACAAAGCCATTCATAGTTGCATAAGTGCTCTAATAATTACGGAAAGGTTGTACGAAACAAGCCATGGTTTCGTAAAGGATATACCGAACCATTACATCATTTACGAAACTATGAACAGTTTCGTATAGTGCATGCCGAACCTTTTGATGTTTTACGAAACTTTCGATAGATCCGTATACGATATACGGAACCTTTGTCTATTCCACGAAACTATCAGAGGTTTTGTAAAACATCCAAAGGTTTAGTATTAATTGTACGAAACTATTCATAGCTTCGTAAACGATGTAAGGGTTCGGTATATCTTTTACGAAACCACGGCTGGTTTCGTGCAACATCTTCGAAACGATAAGAGCATTTATGAAACTATGAAAGGTTTCGTAGAACTACTACGGAACCTTTATATGCTCTACAAAACTGTCAACGGTTTCGTACGAAACATACGAAACCTCCGGAAGTTCAGTACACAGTGCACGAAACTCTAGGAGGGTTTCGTCGTGAAACTTCGAAACCTTCTTCGGTTTTCGGAACTTAAAAAGGTTCAGTATGAAGCCTACGAAACCTTTTTCATCCCACAGAACTTAAAATGGTTTCGAAAACCATTGCGAAACCTTCAAAGTTTGGTAGAACACCTATTTTTTTTACAGTGTAGGCTTCAATTTTCTCTCTTATTTATGAATTAATGAATTCGACAATGCTCACATATTCTTATACCCGATGTGCTCGTAGTTTTCATTTTATCTCAAGCTCTGTTTGAGCTAATAAGTTGAATATTGATGGAAATTCAAGACCAAACATTATTAACAGGAAGCCTGTAGACTTTCATGATAGCTTGCAGCTCTCGATACAGTCACATAGGTCGCTGTTAGATATGTCTATCATTCGAAGAAAGATGTAAAGAAGCATCAATTAATGAACAGGAGGGTTAAAAGTAAATTTCCAATTCCATTAATAACGAACTAATGTAAAGAAAATTACTCAATATTAATATAAATTGATGTTGTGTAACTGTAATAGAGTTCTAATTCTAGCTAGAGTCCTTATCAAGAGCAGACTACATTAGTATAGTATAAACGTTCTTCTTTGAGTTTCGTTGATATTTCTAAGACTCAAATTTCACTCAATTAACTTCTTATTAAATGTGTGAACTAGCTATGATAATTTTTATGACACACGCTTCAAATAGCTCATAAGATCACCGTAATCCATGAACTAAACATTGCTACAAAGTGAGTAGCTATATAAATTATTGATGACAAATTAAAATTCAAAACCCCCATTCCTTGCACAAAAGCGAGCAGTAAGCTTAAATAAATAATCGACACTCATTTCAATAGCTACAGAGAATATTAAATTAATTAGTATTGAAGATCTTTAAAGAGTGTTGCAGATTCAATAGATATAGAAGCTTTAAATAGCTATGCAAGAATTAAATAGCTACAAATCGGTCCAAAGTTTTCGCATAAGCATAAATTGTATCTCTTTTGAGAATGAGGCTTATTCAGTGCCCTTGTTGATAACTGAAAAGTATATAATGTATAGGTTTTCCATTTTTCAGCACCAAAAGTAGTGTTCATCAATAGGAAGATAGCCAAACTGAAAAGTTATATTCTGTATTCTTTTCAGTTTTCAACGAAGGCAGATAAGATATTAATGTTCGGAATCAGCGCGAAATTATCGACAAGATAAAATACTTTGAACGTTGTTTTCAGGGGCAGTTCAACATGTTCTCTTGTCAGTTACATTGAAAAAAGAATTCGAAATTTCTAAAAGAACTCTGCTGAAATCACCCACCTCGAGGATTGCGATAATCGAATCTTGTCAGAGTCAACGGAATCCAGCACCAGCTTCTGCCAGAATTGCTTAGCTTCCGACCCAATTCGACGGGATCAATTTGGACTGAAGCGAACTCCGAAAGTTTCTGATGACTGAATCCGGGAGAATGTAATCAGATCGACAGAGAGAGAAAACCATCTGATGAAGACATATTTTATGTAATTGGATCGTGTCAGATTTACCTGTATTGTTCTCTAACAATATATGTTTGTATTCTATATCTATATGCATACTCCTTACGTATACTTTCTTTCTATATCTTAACCCCTACACCCATCCATATATGCATATGATCCCATTCTCATTCCTGAGCCTATATCTCTATGACTATACTCCTATTACGCTGTGTCAATAATCTTTATACTATGAAAGATCCCTCTTATTTGACTTGTCTCTACGCTCTCTTTGGCATGCATGATTCGAAAAACAACAAGCGATGTCACGAAAGAAAGCGCAAAATGAAGAAAGAATATGCACACAAATAAGCAGATACGAATAACTAAAAAAGTGTGCAGGCATGTGGGCCACATGCTTGTAAACGTAGCATTCGAATGTAGTGGGGATACTTGAATTAGGACATTACATGTTTTGTATGAGACATCGTCCAATGAGTGTGCAAAGTATACCGTGTCACTCAAAGATCTGCCTGATTAACAACAAACTCGGTATTTGACAACTCACTATGATCGAAATCTTGATCTGACGATCAACAAGTGAAATGTGAATAAGTCTCATTTCAGTGTTATTGTGTGTAGATAAGAACGAGAAATAAAAGCGTGTTGTCATTGTCTGATGACTTATGAGCGTATATCATCGTACAAATGTCTCAGCACAGTGACACAAAAAAAAGACACATCATAGAATAGTTAAGGATTAAAGAATCTCTATAAGATTATTGTACCACGGAGATAGCATGATCATTTGCAGCTATGGCATAGACCATAATCCAAATATTTATCAGAGAATTCGACTTCCTGGTAACTTCATTCAAATCGTTGTAACTTCACTCTTAGCATAGATGGAACCGATGAGACCGATCGACCGGTCAATTTATCGGTCAGTCAATGAAGTATACCAGTACATTTTTATTTTGCTCCGCATGGTGTTCCCAACNGTATTTCTAATACTAAAAAGAGTTTTCTAAACATCATAAGCAGAGCTAATACGTGGGGCACTACAAAAGTTTTTTCACTAGCCTTTAGGATAAATATTCAGAGGACGATTTTAATTTATTTTTTCAAAGTACTGTCCTTCAGTATCAATGCATTTATGCATTCGAATAAACCAGTCTTCGAAACAGTTTTTAAAGTCTTCTTTCGTGAGACTGTCAATGGCTTGTTGTAAAGCAGTTAACATTTCGTTGCTGCTTGCCGGAGGCGTCTGTGGATGTCTACAGGGTCCCACTTTTGCTAGCAAAATGTGGGAGGCGCCCCTGGGCTGCCGGTAGCCAAACCGTCTCTCTTCTAGGTTAGCCACCTATTACTGGGACATTAAACTCATCTGGCTAACGAACAAGATCAAAATCAGTGTATCAACGCACTTAAAACAACGTTCTTCGGTGGATGGAATGTACGATCATGTTTTCGTCAAGCAAAGAAAGAACTTATCATCAAGCAACTGAAGAAATACCATGTTCAAGTAGCAGCATTAAGTGAAACAGCAATGTATGATTGTGGAACAACAACAACAGTTGATGATTATACCCTCATCTATTCTGGACATTCAAGTAGTGACAAAACTCGTGCAGCTCATGGAGTAGCCGTTTGTCTCAACAAGTAAGCAACTACAGCGTAGAAGAACCTTGGCTCAACTTGGGAAGCTGTCAATGAACGTATTGTCATGGTCCGACTGGCATGCAAACCAATCAACGTTTCCGTCATTGCCGTTTCTGCACCTATCAACCCGAAAAATCAACAAATGGCCAGCACAACATCAGATCCCTTCTATGCCGACCTACAAACAACTTTGGATAAAGTGCCAAAAAGTGATATGGTTCTCATCATCGGTGATTTCAACGCACGAATTGGCGTACAACAGCACACAACCAGTCGAAATGTAGTTGGTCCTCATGTGGTGGATATAATAAATGAAAGTGGCGAACGTCTGTTGGATTTCTGTTCCCTGAACAACGTAGTCATATCCAACGCATTCTTTCAACATAATCCTATTCATCAAAAAAGTTGGACGCACCCTGGCAGCAAGACCTGGCACATGTTGGACTATGCTCTCGTCAACAAACAATTTCGTTCGAGTATCGAAGATGTGCGAGTCCATCGTACAGCAGCTGGGGCAATTGGAACTGATCATCATCTTCTTCGAATCAAACTCAAATTCCATCTAAGAAGTCGAAGAAAAGTGATCAAAGCTCAACTACACTGCATCAATCGAAAGAAACTCAAGAACGAACAATGCAAGCTAACCTTTCAAAGACAATTGAATGGTCGTCCTCAACAGCAACAAACATCCTCTCAAACAATAGACGACAAGTACAACTCTTTCGTCGACTATGTACATCAAGCAAGTGGAGCAGCTTTTCAACAAGATGGAAATGGTGGAAAACAAAAAGAATGGCTAACAGACGAAATTCTCGACCTTGTTGATAAAAAGGCAAAAGCCTTTCTCGACTGGCAAAACTTCCGTGGTACTACCTTCGAATCAAAATACAAAAAGAGCTATCACCTACTTCGAAATCTGGTGAAAAAGAAAATTGAAGCAAGACAAGTAGAATACTGGGATGAACTTAGTATTGAAGTTGAAAACGCCATCAAGCAACACGACCCAGCAACAGCATACTCAATGATTCGCCGTCTAAGAGGAGGAAAAGCCAAAATTGAAAATCTTCCCATATTTGACAAGGATAGAGAAATACGAACCAACTCAAAAGAAAGATTAGATCGATGGAAAGACTATTTCAATGGTCTTCTGAATGTGCCATCTAATGTAGACCCGTTGACAATCCAACAAATTATTCCTGCTACAATAGATCCAAATGAACAACGACGACAAGACAAAGCACCAAGTCTCAAAGAAGTTCAATGTGCAACCAAGCAAATGAAAAACGGCAAAGCGCCTGGAAATGATGGAATTTCAGCAGACATCATTAAAGCTGGAGGTCTTCCTATGGCAAAATGGCTTCATGAGATCTTTGTGGATATATGGGAAAATGAAACAATAGTTGAGGACTGGGCAACAGCAATCCTGATTCGTCTCTACAAAAACAAGGGTGACAAAAAGATTTGTGACAACTATTGGGGAATATCTCTCTTGGTAGTGACAAGCAAAATCTTCTCAAGAACTATCCTCAATTGTGTACAAGCCCTACTTGACAAACAACTATTGAAGGAACAAGCTGGTTTTCGATCCAATCGTTCAACAGTTGATCAAATATTCATTCTAAAAATGATCATGGAAAAATCCCGCAACGTCAACAAGCCACTTTTCATGTTCTTCATCGACATTATGAAAGCCTATGATTCGGTCGATCGTGCTCTTCTTTGGAATATACGTCGCCACTATGGTCTTACAGAAAAAATTGTACGAATGCTCAAACTACTATATCATGACACCAAAGCTCAAGTTCGAATCAATGAAGAACTCTCTGATACTTTCGACGTCAACTCGGGGGTCCAGCAAGGTGGTATTCCTTCTTGCATCCTCTTCAATGTGCTATTCGACTTCATTATTCGTCGTGTCATCGAACAAACTAAAACCCTCGGCATTAGTGGAATTAAATTAGCATATGGAAGCAATGATTTTTTCACCCTGACAGTGATCAATATGAAGATCTGGACATTCTACTTTTGATTTATGCCGACGACCTGGTCGTCATGTGTGACAATAGTACCGACCTTGAACTATTTATACGATGTTTCGAACAAACAACCCACGAATTTGGTTTAACAATGAGTGTGAAAAAGACATGCATTATGTCATTGAAACAACTAGAACATGACCTTACATCTAACAAAGTCAATAGAAATCAAGAAGTCAACAATTTACACATGAACATAACCATTCGAAACGCAACAATCGAAGGTGTCGACGAATTCCGATATCTCGGGTGCTACTTCACCAGAGATCAATCGCTCGACAAAGAACTTGAGACCCGTCTTTTCAAAGAAAGCCTCAACAGCATTCAATATGCTACGTCATGTCGTATGGTGCAGAAAAACTGTCTCTATTCAAGCAAAAGTGAGAATTTTTCGAGCTTGTGTTCTTCCTGTTCTCCTATATGGTAGTGAAGTATGGTCGACAACAATAGCTCAAGAACAACGTCTCAATACCTTCTACTTCAAGTGTCTGAGAACCCTAATTGAAGTGAATCTAGGTGATCGTATGCCAAATGAACAACTACTACAACTCACTGATCAACCACATATAAGTGATCTTCTCGTCAGAAATCGTCTTCGTTGGTTCAGCCACGTGAATTGAATGCATACAGAGGACAACGAACCTTCAATGGTCAAGAAAGTTGTGTTTTCCTATTTCCCTCGAGCGAACAAGCCAAGAAATATGGGAACTCGAAAACGATGGCAAGATAAAATAACAGAAGATCTTGAAAAATTCAATATTCGCAATTGGCGACGTGAAACACTTGACAAAGACAAATGGCGGGGGACAATCAACAGATTCGCTCATTCAAATGATCCCTCTTCAAACATCTCCGAAGTTGTGCAACAATACAAGCAAAAAGCTGACAAGCGAAGAGCTGCATCAAATGTATCTTCTCCCCCCAAGGTCACTGAAGTTCTAACCAAGCAAGGGTTAAAAAACAATGATGGTACACACACATGTCCAAACTCAAAATGTCCAAGAAAAGTTTTCAAAGCTCAAGGTATTACCAGACACGTCAAAGCATGTGCTCCAGAATGGTGTAAGAAACACAAAATTCCAACAAATTAGGCGAGCATGGGTCAAACAGTGCTTTTATTAAGATTCAAACCTTGCACCTATGATGGCGTCCTTGCATGCTTATAGTAAAATAAATGTAGTAATTTTGAAACAAGGTCCTAGAAATGTGCGGATGGTGTCAAACGATAATTTCGCGGATGGATGTACATGCAAGATGAAAAAGCTGAATCTCCTTACCCTGTACTACATGATGAATATCACTCAAAGCAGACCCGAAAGATCTGAAGGTTATATTCGGAAGACAGTACTTGGTTCTAGGATTCTACGATGATCAAACAAGAAATCAACCGAATGAACACATTCACCTCTAGGTGAACACAAACTTTTTTCTTTTTCTTATGTCTTTTTGTATGTTTTTCTGTGTATTTGTGTATTTTTTTATCTTCACCCTATACCAGTGAGGTAAGGGTATAATAAACACAAACACATTTCGTTGTCGTCGTTAAACCGAATACCACGTAATTGATTCTTGAGCTTCGGGAATAAGAAGAAGTCACAAGGACTTAAATCTGGAGAATATGGTGGATTTGGATACTGTTCTACATGATTTTCCAGCAAAAATTCGTTCGTAATCCAAGCTCGATGCGGCCTTGCATTATCGTCATGAAAGATGAGACCTCGTGTTTCTCTTCGTTCAGATACAGCTTTGAAGACTTGTGGTAAGCATGTATTGACATACCAGCTTGCGTTCACTGTTGCACCTGTTTCTAATTGAACAGACTTAATTAGACCGGATTTCATGAAAAAACTAGCCACCATTCTTTTCCCGGCACTTCTGGTTCGATGAATTTTGGTTGGACGTGGATCAGTGGTTGCCATCCAAACTTTTGATTGTTCTTTTAGTTCGGGATCATAATGGTAGAACCAAGATTCATCACCAGTTATAATGTCAAATACACAACGAGACTGACCTTCTTCAAATCTCTTTAGCGAATGATGGCAAAATTGAATTCGCAGTTGTTTTTGGTCGTCGGTTAGTTTATGCGGTACCCACAGAGCACAAACTTTTCTTAGATTTAAATAATCATGAATAATCGAATTAATTGCTGTGAAACTGATACCCAATATGTTTTGTATTTGCTGATACGTAGAATGAGAATCATCTTCAATTATTTTTCGTACAGCATCAATTGTTTGTTCATTAACAGATGTTGAAGGACGACCTGAATGTGGAGCATCTTGAACACTAAAATTATCGCGTTGAAATTCACGAAACCAATTGAAGACTGTGTGATCAGAAGGTGCTTGCTCCCCCCATGCTTGCACCAAACGGGCATGGCTATACTTGTATAATAAGCCAATTTTCCAATCATATAAAACACTAGTGCGAAATTATTCACGTGAGAGTTGAAAACTCATATCGAAAGTGATGCGAGGGTGACATGAAAAAAAAAGTACAACGATGGGTAAGGCGTGGACGGCTGAAATTTTGCACATAGTCCTAAATATGTTTAAGTATTATAGCGGAATAGATGTCCTCAAATTACCATTTCTAGAAGAGCTGTATGAAAAAACTTTTGTAGTGCCCTATGTANCCGAAACGGCAAAATTTTTGTAAAAAATTTTTTCCGCTATAAAGTTTAATTAAAAAAACGAGTTTTTCCGTTTAAGATGTTTATCCAAAAAGCCAACTACCTCTATTTAACACATTGCAAATACGCATTTAAAAAATGCTATTATTCAACATCGTTTGGTTCAGATAATCTTGTTACTTGTACTTTTCATAAACGATTTAAACTGAGCCAGGAGGAACAAGTTTTCAAACTTGATATTATTCACTTTTTTAAATAAAATAACGATTGTCTATCTGTCATTTGACTAAAATAATCATTGAGTGAGTTTGTAAAAAGTGAATCGGCTGAATGCAATAGTGGTGAATTCAAGAGATGGTTACAGGGTAGGGCAGGACAAGGCTCAGATTTTATACTAGCTCTACCCTGTTATTTTATAGGGCAGAGGACACAGCAGAAGAAGATTTTGCTGCTCTGAAAATTCCAAACACTAGCTTTAAAAAAAACAACCATTATGATTTGCTTCAAAGATGTTAAGAGCTTCATAGAAAAGTAACACAAGTGCCGTTATTATATGGTGCCTAAGATTTTTGTATATCTTTGAAAAACGTATATTTCAACGAAAATAATAAAAATGAAATGGAAGAGGAAAAATCACTGTTATGGAAATAATATGTGTAAGTGTTGCTCATCTTCTTGCTATTTGAATGCTTCAAACAACAGAAAAATATGAACCCAATATCTCCTGATGCTGATTTATTTCATGATATTTATTTTTCCGCTTCTGCCGATCGAAGTAACGTTCCGATCCGGTTCACCAGTGCTTCTACTGTTGCAGCTACTTCGTCACATACAGTCAATGAATTGCAATGAGGATGAGTGTGATTACGAATGGAGATGAATGAATGCTATTTCTCTGATCACCTACACACTAGAATTCGGTATTGGTTCTAAAATAAATTTCAGGAACCGTTCAAAGAAGTATGGGTTGTTTCATCATGTTTACCGTTAATACACCATTCGAACATACATCTTGTAGAGAAATGTTTCTTCTTTAATGTCATATATTTAAAAACACACAATAATCCTTCATGTCAAAAGGTTTCTTCATTGAAAAAGTACGTTCCATATTTCTCGAATCGTACTGATTCTAAGTTTGGAACCTTACTTTTTCAATAAAGAAACCTTTTGACATGAAAGATTAAAGAGGAAACATTTCTTGACAAGATGCATGCTCGAACAATATATTAATGTTAAACATGATGAAACGACCCACAATTCTTTGAACGGTTCCCGAAAATTATTTTAGACCCCATGCCGGGCTCTAATTACACACCCACACCCGTGCAAATAGCGCCTGTTATATCATGAATAGACACAAAGAGACAGGGTGAAAGAAGTGGCAAGATACATGATCAACATAGACAAAGGTAGACCTCACTGACACTACGATAAAGATACGGATGACTCTTTCAGAAGTTTAATGAAAAGAAAAGAAACAAAAAAGAAAAGTAGAAGATCTTATCGATGTAATTATATATAAATAAATCAAAGTTCGTTCGGAAAATCGAAAACTTTTTCCTACGCAAGAAAATATTTATCAAAAACTTTTCTCGCATGTTACTGAATTTTGTAAAAGTTTTCCCCGATACTGCTAAATTTTGAAAAATTTCCCCTGATGGCCGTTGGCGCACACAAGTAGATTCTGCACGACTGATTTTGAACAATGTAGCAAGATTTAGCTTTTTTCATATTTTTTTCATAATAACAAGCACATCTAGTTTTTAACTTACTTTTATCTCAGATAAGAAGTAATCAAAAGATCTAAAATTTTTATCACGAAATACTCTAGTTATGGCCTTATGTATGCAATGTTTCAGGTCGACATCCGATATTTTATTTTTTTGATGTTCTTAGGGGAAACTACGGCCATGTCTCTAGTACAGCCTGCCGGGAGTGTCTATGACACTCACAGGAGTCCATCACTGCTTTGCAATGGTGGGAGGCGTCCCTGGGCTGCCGGTAGCCATCTGTCTTGCTTTTGGGTTAGCCACCTGTCTGTAGGACTTTAAATCTTTCTGGCTAATGAAAAGGATCATAATCTGTGCAATGCACGTAAAACTATGTTCCTCGGTGGGTGGAATGTTCGCTCTTGTTTTCGACGAGCGAAGAAGGAATTAGTTATTAGGCAGCTAAAAAAACATCGGATTCAAGTGGCTGCACTGAGTGAAACGGGCATGTATAACTCTGGCATCACAATAGTTGATGATTACACGATGATTTATTCTGGTGTCGCAAGCGACAAAAAAACACGATTGGCTCACGGGGTAGCAGTGTGCCTAAACAAACAAGCCACACGAGTGTGGAAAGACTCAGGGGCAGTGTGGGAAGCGGTAAATGAACGCATTATTATGGTTCGAGTGGGATGCAAACCGATTAATATCTCGATAATAGCGGTCTATGCTCCAACTAATCCATCAAAGGGACAAAAGGCTACTATTGATGAATCTGACACTTTCTACATAAATCTTCAAGAGACAGTAGACAAAGTGCCAAAAGGGGATATGCTGATGATTGTTGGTGACTTTAATGCACGAGTCGGAAAGCAAGATAACCAAGAACCAGGAAATGTTATTGGGCCTCACACGGTGGACAGCACCAACGAAAACGGGAAGCGTCTGATAGACTTTTGTAACATAAATAATCTTATCGTAGCTAATACTTTTTTTCAGCACAAACCTATACATCAAACATCATGGATGCATCCGGGAAAAAAGGTATGGCACATGTTGGATTATACATTAGTCAACAGAAAATTTCGATCGAGCGTCGAGGATGTAAGAGTGCACAGAACGGCGGCAGGTACGATCGGAACGGATCATCATCTTCTGCGGGCCAAAGTTAAGATTCATCTGAGAAGCAGAAGGAAAAATCAACATGAAAAACGAACACGATTGGATAGTAAAAAGCTACGCGACGAAAATCTGGTCGATGCTTTCCAAAAAGACATCAAGAAAATGCGAGAGGAAATGGCAAATGACACTATGACTGTCGACGAAAAATATGCCAACTTCGTGAAATGTGTAAAAGGACTAGGACAGGAACATTTTCAACAAGAACAGAATAACCATCGAAAACAAAAAGAGTGGCTGACTGACGAAATTCTGGATATTGTTAACAAAAAGGCCAAAGCCTTTCTCGATTGGCAAAACAACCGTGGAACACGTCTTGAACAAAAACATCGGGACAAATACCGAATGTTAAGAAAATTGGTTAAAACAAAGGTTGATGCTCGACAAACGGAGTATTGGGATGAAGTAACCGGAGAAATCGAAAAAGCCATTAAACAACATGATCCAGCCACAGCATATGCGATGATCAGGAGGCTCCGTGGAGGAAATAATAAAAACATCGAATACATGCCCATTCAAAACAAGAATGGCGATCTTCTTACGAATTCTGCTGATAGATTGTCTCGGTGGAGGGAATATCTTAGTGAACTACTGAACGTCCATACTAGCGTGGACCCGTCGATTATTCAACAGATTGATGCACCACCGATTTCAAAAAAAGAACAAGAACGACAAGATAAACCACCGTCACTTGTCGAGGTTCAAGAAGCTATCAGGCAAATGAAAAGTAGAAAGGCACCGGGAAACGATGGCATAACAGCGGATCTTCTGAAAGCTGGTGGTCTACCGATAGCCATATGGCTCCACGAAATATTTGTTGATATATGGAAACAAGAAGAAATGGTAGAAGATTGGACATTGGCCATTTTAATTCGGTTATATAAGAACAAAGGGGACAAAAAGATATGTGATAATTATCGAGGGATATCACTTCTGGTAGTAGCGAGCAAAATCCTCTCACGCGTAATACTGAATCGTGTTCAAATCTTACTCGACAACAAATTGTTGGAGCAGCAAGCCGGATTTAGATCGAACAGATCAACAATCGACCAGATATTTACACTCAAACTGGTAATGGAAAAATCACGTGAACATAATAAGCCGCTGTGTATATGTTTCGTTGATATACAAAAAGCATATGACTCGGTGAATCGAGAACTGCTCTGGAAAATTTGTAGAAGCTATGGTCTGACGGATAAGACTGTCCGGATGTTACAACTACTGTATAAGAACTCTAAAGCTCAAGTACGGATCAATGATGAACTATCAGATAGTTTCGATATAGAAACAGGTGTTATGCAGGGTGGAATTCCATCTCCTATTCTCTTTAACATTCTGTTTGATTTTATCATGAGAAAAGTTATCGAAGAAGCGAACGTAGAAGGTATAAAGTTAGGCTACGGAACAAATGATTTCTTTCACACAGCAAAGGACATCTTCGATGAACTAAATATTCTAACATTAATGTATGCAGATGATGTAGTGGTGATGTGTAACAGCGCTAAAGATCTAGAGAAATTTATAAAAACTTTTGAAAAAGTGACTCAAGAGTTTGGTCTGACTATGAGTGTCAAAAAGACGTGCATTATGTCATTGAAACAACTGAAAGAAGATTCGGCACGAAAAATCATCAAAGATGAAGAGGTTGATATACCTGACATTGATATTGTTATACGAAATCAAAAAGTTGATATTGTCGAGTCCTTCGCATATCTTGGATGTTTCGTGTCAAGAGATCAGTCTCCTGAGAAGGAAACAGAAACAAGAATAGCAAAGGCATCAACAGCATTTAATATGCTTCGAAATGCAATTTGGTACCGAAAATCGATCTCAATCGAGGCAAAGTTACGAATCTTTCGTGCGTGTGTCATCCCAGTTCTATTGTACGGAAGTGAAGTGTGGTCGTTAACTGTAGCGCAGGAACGACGTCTGAACACATTTTACATGGCCTGTCTAAGAACAATTATCGGTGTAAATTTAGGAGACAGAATGGCCAACGAAACCATACTGAACTTGACGGGTCAACCATGCCTAGAAAACATCATGCGAAGAAATCGTTTGAGATGGTTTGGCCATGTGAACCGGATGGAAAATGCAGATGATGCTGAACCTAGATCAGTAAAGAAAACAATGTTTTCTTATTTTCCTGACTCTAGGCGGCCACGAAACGGGGGTGTACGTAAACGATGGGAGGATAAAATCATGGATGATATTGGTAAATTTCATATTACAAACTGGAGGAGAGACACACTAAATAAGGATCAATGGCGTGCACTGATTAATAAAGATGTTCATGTGAGACCAATCCATTCGAACATAAAGGCTATTGTTCATGAATACAAAGACCGAGCACAAAAGCGAAGAGCTAATGTAGTAGTCACAGCCAATGGAGCAATGACAGTAAAAACTCGTGTCAAAGTAACAGAAGTACTCGCTAAGAATCAGCACAACGAGTATGCTTGCCCTAAATGTCATAGGACATTTAAACCTCAAGGAATAACAAATCATGTGAGATCATGCGCCAAAGAATGGTGTCAGAAGAATGGAATCAACAACTAGTATACAATGGAACGTCGAGAAAACGGAGACTTAATGTTGGGATTAAAATGATAGATACCATCGAAACCAAGTCTGCCATAGCTTGGAGATAGTATCCTGAGAATATATTCTCAACATTAAGACCTCCGACGAACGAATGGACAACTCACCGAACGAACAACTTCGCATTCTATTGAATGCATTAAAACACAAACACTAACTCTCCTTTTTTTCCTCTCTTTTTTTTTCTTCTTATCTTTTTGTTTTTGTAATTGTCCCTACATTTTCTCCAATAATTGTACATTTTTTATCTTCACTCAATACTGAAAGGTAAGGGTATAATAAACTAAATTAAATCTTGAATTTCGGGCTTTATCACATTCTATGACTAATCTTTTCCAAAATTCACTCAACCAGTGAGATACGAAGTTGAGATGGGTGTGGGCGTGGGTATCAGATGGGAAAAAAACACTCACACCCTACACTTTATAGTAACATGAAACTTATCCTTGTTTGTTCTGTTATGCAATGGTATAAGTGTACAGCTCTGCGAAGATTACATGAAATCGGGTACTCAATGAGAAAATAGACGGTTTATTGCATACGAGACAACAAGCGCTTTTTAAAGTGGCATTCAATACAGTTTTACATTTGAGCAGACAATAGCAGTCTAACAATGGCTGTTCATTACATTGGCATCACTTCTGAAGTAGTTTGCCGACGCTTTCTAATCAATTTATAACATAATCGTACCATTAATGGAACCGCAAATCTCAAGGTGATGGTTACTCCACCATGTAGACCGAGTAAGGTCGTTGCAACATCAAGCAGGTCGTGTCGTTCGATTAATGTGTATGAGCATGAAGTAGGTCGGCATTGTTCAAAGAAACTTTCGAATGATATATTGAATGACCAATGCTCAATGAACATTTGTTGAACGATTGCATCAATCGATACATTCATAACAAAGCGAGAGTTATTATTAAGTACAGACGGTGTATAATTTGCACCAACATAGGAGACCATTTGATCAACACATGATTGTACGTAAAGGCATTCGATTGTGGATCGAAGAAATGATTCTAATGGAAAACAACTCACCACAAATCCAGACAGAAAGAGTTCAGAAGGCTGAGTACACGCTGCTGAAGTGGCACAATTACAATCTCCGTACCATTGTGGTTTCATATAGACAATGGCATTGTTGGTCATATTACGAACGAAAAGATTCCAATTAGTTGAGTATGCTGAGACAAGTTCATTTCCTTGTGCAAGTTCTCGAAACATTTCTAAAGTGTGTATAAAGTTATTCGATACTGTCGATTGAAAATTATCCAGATTCGCTTGAGTCTGTTTGTTAAACAGATCTGAATCAAGCATTTTTCTTGAGACAACCGATTCAGCAAGAAAAAGATCGCGACTATTGATTACAGCTTCCTTAATCAGATTGCACATAGTGAACATAGCTTGAAAATGTATAAAGGTAGTGCTGTTAAAATTATACGGATTCATGGATGATAGATTCTTACTGCGATAACTATTGAAGAGAATATTCAACCAATCGGTGCCAATGAAGTCACTTGAGCATACTTGATGGAAAACGGGCTCGATTTGGATAAATGAAGAACGAGTAATAGCCAGTTTTGTGCATGGACATGTGACAACAGTAGAACCAAGAAGTTTTTGCAAAAGTTGTATAGTATCCAGAGAAGAAATTTTCACCAATATATTATTGCTCTTGTAAGTAGATGATATGTAGACAACAAGAGTGGAAAATATAAGAGTGAGCAGAATTACATATACTCTGGTTGATTGTCGTTGGATTTGAAGATGATAATTTTCCATAGATGACTTATTAGCGTTTTCAAATAAGTTCCAGTTTAGTATACGTTTGTGTATGTCCCGGCTTAATTCTTTGATAGTTGGCAAACGACGTATCGCTAAAATGATTTACAAATAGAATGGTCAGAAAACTCTGCAGAAAGAAATGCTATCATCTCATTCAAGTTGAACGAATCGTTTAAATTAAATGCTACAGATCTGATTTTACAATAAAATGGTTGAGCGTCGCATATGATAATTTTCCAGTTTCTCAATTCAGTATATATTCCTTGTGGATCTATGTTTGGAAAAGTGTGACAGCTTAAAAATAAAGTTACATCTCTCTTCTCTTAAACACAACAACATAAGAATCAGAAATATCAGAATCTCAAGGATGTGAGTCCTACGTTTCGAAAGTGAACAGCATTCCTAGAAAACTAGTTTTTCACAATATTTCGGCTGACTTCACGCTTTCGTCTTAGCTGACATTAACCGTGTGCAATAAATTCTTTCTTAAAATTGACATAACAGGTTATCATAAATTACAAAAAAAACACACGTTGAACTAACTAGATGAAACAACGAATTCCACATCATTCTCGTTATTCTGAACAAAAGATAGAATTAAACCTCGATTGACACGAATTCCGATCAGTTTTCTGAGCTTACCTGCATATAGATTCGCGTTTAACGTTGTTAATATTGTACTAACTTTCATCGAACTGCTCACTATTCGTGATTAAGTCTCGATTTTTTATCATGTAAGAACTTCAGAGGTGGAACAAAACTTTCTCTGCTCGACTCTATCTAAAAGATTTCTTGACATTCCTTTTTTCAGAAGTTAACGGACTCGAAAAATAGCACATTCGCTCTGAAACAAGGGGTTACGTAGAAGGATTCAATGACTAAACTTTCTTCTATTCGTTAGAACCTATCAACCGCTTTCTTTCTACTGGATTTCGGTCATATCAGATTCAAAAAACCTGGATACTTTCTTGTCGCTTGATTTAGGCATTTGTGGATTCAACTTGTTCATATTGAATTCGAAAACATTTTAGGATAAATGTAGTCACTTTCTCGGTCCTTGCGAAAAGGGATATGCGTCCTTTGCAGGAAAATTTATATTAAATACTAGAGCTGCTAACTACAACTTGATCTAGGCCGCAATAATATTCCAAAATATGAATATATATTTTCTGACATTACAAAAGGTTCATGCGAAATCATTATGGTAGCTAATATATCTTGGCGAGCGCCAGGTCATTTGTCCCGAACTTCTCTTCTTCTTATTTACCATTCTTTATAGATTTCTCCTCTTTTATTCATCATTGTAAGGTAAGAAAGCGTTTTTCCATTAACATACTTCCCTTCTTGTTCAACCTATGCATCTAGAGGATTTTATTTTTTTTTAGATCCGAGAGTCATTTTTTCCTTTCATCTACTCGATTGGCTATGTAAAGGTTGCGCTTTCTTCCAGACTAATCCTAGAAACAGGTAACACAGAAGTACATAAAGTAACATCATTTTTGTTTTAAATATTGCGACCTATGCCACAGAAAAATCCGATCGGTACTTCAAAAGCCTACTCACTATTGCGATCAACAGATATTCTTAAACAGCAATGATGCCGGAGAAGGTCAACACATGCAGCCACAATATATGGAGATATGAAACGCAAAATTACGGATAATCCTCCAATAAGGCTAGAAACAAGCGTAATAATTTCAATTGCATTCTTTCGTTTAATAGTTGCATAAAAACAAGATTTTGATTGACATTGAGCAAAATAAGATGAATAGAGAAGAGTTTGTGACCATGACTCAATAAATAACTGCGCTACAAGATCACCGATTGGAACTTGAATCGGAAAACGACTTGGTGGAGATGAATTGAGCCGAGTAAAGTTAGAAAACAAGGTTTGATTTGTAATGTTACCGATAATACTAAGGCATGGTTGGTTGTCATAAAAACATTCAAGAGTCGATGCAAGTAAAGATTCAATAGGAAAACATCTAATATAAAAGTTAGGAATCGCATAAATAGGGTACTTTGGTAGATAAGTATTGATGAGAAAAATACCAGAATTCACTTCACATTCGAAATTATTTGCACACGAACAATCTTGTACTGTCGAGTGTAACATAACTGAGGGAAAACCGTCGACTCCAAACGTAGCGGTAGTGTCCGTGTATAGTTCGAGAGATGCATATAGGACCAAAAGTTCGCATACGAGCCTGTGATTAACTGATTAATAAACGTCAAGTAACGTATTAAATTTAACAAGGTCAATAGTCTATTTGGCAGAGTTTGCTCAAACTGCTGAATTGCCGAATCCATTTCTTTCACGAATAAGTCACGTTCGAGAAGCTGTGATGCAACGAATTGAGTTTTTTCATAATCAGAAAGTGCTTTGGCAACTGTCTTATTGGCCAAATCACATAAAGTCGTAAGTAATTGAAACAGAGGGCCATTAGTACGTAAATCTCGATAATCATAGTTAATGTTGGGATCATCAAACAGAAGATTAAGTCCTTGAATCCATTCAGATGTAACAAGTTCACTGGAACAGACTTGATGATAGTAAGGGTGAAGTTGAAGAAATTCTTCGTATGAAACGGATAATACTTCACACGGACATTGAAGCGAAGACGTATACTCTTGTAACGCTTCTACTGTACTCAACGATGGATTTTCGACTTCAATAATTCTCGTTTCAGCATTCAGTAATGAATAAACTGTGAGAATGAACAGAGAGAGAGCAAGAAGAAGAATGAAAAGACGAGTAGCTCTTTTTTGATTTGCAACATCAGATGCTTCCGTTTGATTTGACGATTTGAATACATTCAGACTTGCCATTGTATGCCACATGCTTCCAATAAATTCTTGAAGTGAATAGAATACACCTGAACAAACTCATAATATTTTAATAAAAGAACAACTTTTGTGTGTACATAATTCTTTCGAGAATACGTAATGTTCAAAACAAAGCATTATGAAGCGAAATATGACTTAGAAAATTAATTTCAGCTGAAGAAAGTGGCAGCATCAAAACACTATGTCAAATGAACAAATTCAAGGAGTCGTAGACTAGTGCATGTGTTGAAATTTTGGTAGGTAGTTCGTTAATAAATGCGAGAAACTGAGATCTGACACAAACCTTAGGATTCAAAATGCGAACCATCTGTATGTTTCAAAAGGAGACCATTATCTCAATTCACGATAAAATATCTATAGAATTGTGTTTTTATCAAAGAAACACAACGATTAATAGTAGAAAGATGATCTACACGAACACGACGAAACTCACATTAGATACTTTTCTCAATTTAGCTTGTCCTGCAGACTCATAGTGTAGCTGTACTATATAACCAACTCGGATTTCAGTACTGATAAAGATCTATCATGTTTAATGTATAGAGATCTGTGAGACTATTCTTGTAAAACCTCAATGACGACTAGGAAACTGTTTTTGTTAGACGACATATGGAGATATTATCATTGAGAAGTTCAAAAAGAAAAGATTGAAATTGAAAGACAACTTTGAAGAAAGTAGTCCCGAGTATCAGATAAGCAACTAGAGACTTCAACACATTTACTGAAGGCTATACTATGTTCATTCGTAGGGTTCAAGTGTTATTGATTTTCTTTAGTAATACAATAGTTGCTTTGCTAAATTTACCAAATTTTCATATTGTCAGGATAAATCATCGACTTCTCGACTATTTACGGTTTTTTCAATTAGTCTCAAATACGGCTGGATTTGAAAAATTACACAAATTAATTTAAAGATTCCTCTTCGACTATAATGGTAGAGACAGGATTCAACTACTCACCTCTATGTACAGTTTGAGCGGATGTCAAAACTGATTGTCGTCCTAGGCATTTTGCAAGAAATTGAACGAGATATGGAATGATAAATCGAAACGCAATCGAAAGACCACCATAGAGTCCAAGAAGAGAAGTGACAATATATACGGCCGAAGCCCGTTGGTTGGTAGTGTATGAACAAGATTGTGGCTGGCACTGAGAAAAGTATGCGGAATAGTTCGGTTTGCTTGTCCATTTTTCCACGAACAAAGTTTGTACTAGAACATCAAGTCTAATACTTCGATTGAACTGACTAATCTCTGATTCATTAAGTGCCTTAAAGTGATTGTATACTACTGACGCGTTCACTAATGTAAGAATTCGGTTGAATATTGTTTCATTATAGAAGCTTTCCAGCGTTGACAACAGAAGAGATTCTGTAGGCCAGCAAGCTGTATACCATCCATCTAGAGAAATCCGAGGCGGTAATTTCTGTTCATTGAAATAGAAATTTTCATCTAATGTTTCAAAATCGTAGAAGCCAGCATGCACAGAACAGGTAGGATAATCCACACAAGTACATTCCGTACCGTTTTCTTGAATGAAGTAATTGATCTGGAATGAAGGCCTTCAATAAAGAAAAGGTATCGGAATTCAAT